GCAATAAAGAAGCATGTTACTGGAATGGAGCAATATAGAAGCATGTTACTGGAATGGAGCAATATAGAAGCATCAAACTAAAATGAAGCAATAAAGAAGCATGTCCTTTGATAAATTGTTTAGGCAGAGTATCCATGATGAATTTTTGTAGAATGAACGGCAACTGCCTGTTGTAGAGACACAAGTGTAGAGAACGACTTCCGCCTTCAGGACAGTGTGTGTGTGTGTGTGTGTGTGTTGTGTTGTGCCTGGCAGCTATCTTGATGTAAGATTAATTAATTCGAAATAAATAATTAATCATCAAGGGTGTTCGAAGATTAAACGATCTTCCTTCACCCCGCGCGAGACTAAAGATTATAAACCTGGGGGTTAAATGGGTCTGTTCAAGCCAAATGGGTTGATATATACATACATATATATATATAATACAAAAAACACGAGGTAGGTAGGTATATGTGAAGCTAAAGGCAGAATCGAGTCGAGGCAGGTTGAAGTATAGGAGAAGAAGATAAGTCGAGAGCTGATTGCTGAGAAAGCATCGAAACAAACGGGCCACTTCTGGGCCAGGCTTGGTTCAACAGATCCTAATGCCATGGCTGGGATCTGTAGATTCAATGCCTATGAATTTTGGTGTAGGGAGAAACGGGAGTATAAGGTGGAGAGCGTGTTATGATTGGTTGGTTTATCCCTGTTTCGGACTGGAGAAGAGATTTCCTGTAGATTTAACCAATGGTAGCCACAGGTTACTCACCTCTAATCCGAAATCTCTGTTTAGTGAAGGTTTAATTTTGTTAATATAAACTGATTCTTTAATTTTTCTTGTCTTCCACATATAAGAACGCCTCCCCGTGCATGGTGTCTCCCTGTAGCAGCAACATACGAACATGAAAATGAAGCTCCTTATCTTTCCCCCTTTTTTTCCTCCGTAATCACGAGAACTAACATTCCACGAGCGGGATTGAAGAGAAACAAAGTGTTTCTGAGCACCCCAGTTAGAGAGAGAAGTCTCTTGTCTTCTCTCTCTTCAAACGGAACCCCTGCCACGTAAGTAAGGTAAGGTAACTTTACACCATTAAATACCTACACAAAATAAGCAATCTCCCTACCCTTAATGGTAGGCTAACTTATCTGGCGCTTAAGTATTACAAAAAGCAGAAAATAGAAACAACCTGACAAGCACACTCTGTAAAATTGCCGGCGCCCCTACAAAACACATCTCCCCATACAACTTCTTCACACAAAACCACGACGGCTAACCGAATGTATGTAAGTTTTATGTCAAGACTAATCATTTTATTTCTTTTTTCAGCTTGAGTTTTTCTCCGGGTACTCCGGTTTCCCCCATACCTAAATTTGGGGCATAGAACTTATAGGCTCCCGCCCACCCTGAGAGGGTCTTTGATTTGTTAATTAATTAATTAATCTATCAATTAGTTAATTAATCATTTAACAATAAATTATTGGTTAATACAATATCAAGAAAATTCCACACATATAAGAACGCCTACCCGTGCCTGGTGTCTTCCTGTAGCAGCAACATTCGAACACCAAACACGAAAACGAAGACGATGAAAATTCAATATTATACTTCTTCATTGTTGCCGGCCTCCTTA